TCATTTATGAATATATTAAATAATACTAGTATTGGTGTAGTAATCATCCTAATCCCAAGAGTTTTGTGCTGGTAAATCTCAGGAGGAGCTGTTAGAAAACTGACGTGTACAAGTTGTTAATACCTGATAAGGACGCACTGATCCAGATGAAGTTTCAAATCCTGATACTTCTTGCACATCCGTTGGGAACTCAGCAGAATTGTTTCCTGCTTGATGCCATGCAGCATGGCGTGAGATCAGCCCACTGATTTCTGTTTCTCCATGTCAGCATCGTCCGGATTCCTTCTTCTAACGAGGAAATTCGCTTGGTTGATGATGCGTTTGGAAAAATCTGTCATATGGTTAGTGATGGTTCCTGGGTTGTTAGAGTTCAAGCTGCTAAATTATTGGTAAGTTATTCTCTATCTGAAAATAGTTCATCTTACGTTATTTTACTTTTCATGTATATTTGAAAATAAATGGGAGGGTGTTTAAAAACTATATAGGTAAATTTCTACCAAAATCCTGAGAAGAAATAAATGAGAGAGGTTGAGGAAACCCAAACATTTCTCAGCTGAACTCTGTGGTGATTCCTTCCTTGAGAGTAGAGGGATGGGTATCTAAGAAAAAAAAGTACTTGTCATAATTCCCTCCCCTTACTTCTCCAGCACAGGACATGTAAACCCAACTGAACTCCAGAAAGTGTATTAACCTCAGTGGTAAAATACTTTTAAGTATAATAAGTAAACTTCTTTAAACTCTTACATATATTAAAGCTATTAAACTCTTACATTTTAAAGCTATTAAAATGAGTGGATAAGATTGAACACAGTGTTGGGATAAATCAGGAAATAATGTGGTGAATATTCCTGTGTCTTCCTTTTGATATTTTCTTCTTCCTTTTTTTCTGTAGGGTTCTATGCAACAAGTCAGCTCCCATTTCTTGGAGCAGACTCTCGACAAGAAGCTCATGTCAGATCTGAGGGTAAGTCAATGTTTGGCTTTATTTTTATCTCCTGGAGTGTACTCAAATCACACAACAGGTATGTTAATGTTAAATCTGTTTGTTTACCATGTCCTTGCCTCAGGGCTGCTGAGAGTTAATTGATGATGACAGATTTTCTTTTAGATTAAAGTCAATGAAGCAATTGCTCGTTTTAGATTTCATTAGGTGTAATAAACAGCTCTAGGCTCTTCAGGTTTCGCAGGTGAGAAGTAAACGTTTGTGTTCTTCTCATCAGCCTTTTGGCTAAAACTTTTACTTATTGTGTATGGAAAGATTGCTTCCTAGTTTCAGGAACAATCTTCTGGAAAGCTCCTGCAAGATCTGACCAGCAGACCTAGACATTTTAAGAGATACCAGTAGCTACAGGCTGGGACCTCTGAGCCCTATCAGCAAAACTTTTCAGTAAAATTCATTCCTTGAGCAACTTACTCGAGATATTATGTTCATTTTTTTCTGTCTACAAAAGAACAATGAAGCTAGAGCACAAGTTTTTGTGGGCTGCTTTGTAAATTCCATTAAAGAAAGTGCTGCACATCTTTCTTTCCAATGTGAGGGGAAAGGGGATGGACTGGTCGAATGAATATCACATTTTACACGTTGCTAATCAGGGTATAGTATCAATAATCATATTTAATTGCAGTGTAACAAGTTGAGCTTCAAAGTGATAGTGTTTGTTTTTGCAGATCATTTATTGGACACTTAACTAGATAGGCCTTTGCTCTAACCCAGTTTGGTCATTCTTATAATGGATATCTAAGAATATGATAATTAAAATGTATTAGTAATTATCCTTTACCAACATCAAAAGTACAAAGAGTTACTGGCAATTAGAAATATTCCTAGAAGAGAAGGTATTATTTGCTTTTCTTAGCATTTGCCTGGCTCTCTCAATGTCTAAGCCTCTAGCTACATCTATTTTCAAATCCAATAAAGCCATTTAATACTTTATTTGATCACCTTTAAAGTTTACCATGGTTGTAACTGAAAAACTTGTTTGGGCAGAGGAAGCGCACTGCACATGAACGAGCCAAAGAACTCTACAGCTCTGGGGAGTTTTCAAGTGGCAGAAAGTGGGGAGATGATGCTCCCAAAGAAGAAATTGATACAGGTGCTGTGAATTTGATTGAATCAGGAGCTTGTGGGGCTTTTGTTCATGGCCTGGAAGATGAGATGTATGGTAAGTGTTAACTTATTACGGAATGACTAAAGAAGGAGATGAGTCCTGGCTAATAAGCTCTGGGGTTTTTTGGTCCAAAAAGATCACTTGGCTATTGTGTTTGTTGGGGTTTTTTTTAATGAATCATGGACTGCAGGGTGGTGGGGGTTTTATTCCATCGTGATCTCTGATATGGTATTTGTTTCGAAGGTGCTGCAGTCTTGCACAGAATTTTGGATAGAAATGTTCCACTGAGTACCAAAAGCAAATAGCTTTTCTATAAACAGTAAAGTTTTAGTAAATTATCTGTTAGGAAGTGGTTGCTTATGTTATTCAGAAACCCACTAAGGTTGGTTTTTTGTTTTTTTTTTTTAATTGACTTAAATTTATCAGTTGCATGTGGCTCTAAATTGGCAGCATTAGTTGCTGTGGTTTGAAATGGATGTTTTCTCCACAGGAAGGAAAATCAAATCTTATAGAACTTGTTGTTTACAACGTGGCACTACAAGGAGCATGTGTCCATGGAGCTCAGTGATCAATCATTTTATAAACACAGCAGCTTCCATCCTAACAAAGCTTGGAACTAGTAGAGACAAACCCATGTATTGTTTTAGAATATTTCAGAATCCACCAGCTCCAACAAACAGAACCTGTCTTTTAATTTCCAAGCCAATTTTTTCTATGGCAAATTTATTCCCATTTGTTCTTAGCCAGTGGCAGATTTCAGATTAAATAGTTGCTGCTTCTCTCAGGGACTGGCCTCCCTTCTGAATTAACAGACAGCTTTCATTTTGCAAGGGGACAAACAGCCTGTGCTCCTTTTAGTTTCTGCTGCTGTAAAAGCTTTCCTCTTGGCTGACTAGAACACATTATTCTTGAAAGTTGGTGACTGGATCTGTATGTTTTCAGGTACTTAAATTTCAGGTGAGGTCTTACATCTTTAGCAATGTTATTGATTATTCTTTTTCTTTCATGGAAATATCTGTGTTCTGAGATCACACTTACCTGTTCCATGGTGCTGTTGTATTGCTCTCTTGTGGTCTTCCTATGATGGACTTGGAGGCTGAAGTCTCTTTCCAACAGATTATATCTGATCTGTTGTTTTAAAGATGAAGAATGATGAGTGTTGAACTGCAACACAGATGTTCATGAGCTCCCAGGTGTGGCTGTAGCATTGACCATGCTGATGGCCTCGGGAAAGACTGTGTGTTGCCCTTCCCAGCTCAACTTTCCTGTGGCTAAAGTGATGATTTATATTCTTCAGTCTATTGAGGACAACTGGTATTTGCATAGAACCATGGAAATGCCAAGCTCTGAATGTTACTCCTGAGTTAACTTTTAATGTTTTTAATACACTTTAAGGGTCTGGAGCACAAGTGTGCTGAGTTCCCTTGTGGCTGAGGGAACTGGGGGTGTTGAGCCTGGAGAAAAGGAGGCTGAGGGGAGACCTTGTGGCTCTGTCCAAGTCCCTGCAAGGAGGGTGGAGAGAGGTGGGGGTGGGTCTGTTCAACCAAGGCCCAAGTGACAGGACAAGAGGAAATGGCCTCCAGTTGCACCCAGGGCAGTTGAGATTGGATGTGAGGAAGAATTTCTTTGCTGAAAGGGTTCTGAGGCATTGGAAGGGTTTGCCCAGGGCAGTGGTGGAGTCCCCATCCCTGGAGGGATTGAAGAGTCGTGTAGACACAGTGCTGAGGGACATGGGTTAGTCGGGGACTTGTCAGTGTTGGGTTAATGATTGGACTTGATGATCTTAAAGGTATTTTCCAATTGAAGTAATTCTGGAATTCTGGCACTGGAAGGATGAGGCTAAATTAGAAAGTACAAAAGCACCATGTTGTGTTGTAAAAGTTGGTTTATTTTTCCATGACTCTTTCAAGTTCTACCCCTCTACTCCGCTCTCGTGAGGCCCCACCTGGAATACTGCGTCCAGTTCTGGAGCCCCCATCACAAGAAAGACACGAACAAGTTAGAACGAGTCCAGAAGAAGCCATAAGGATGATGCCAGGGCTGGAGCAGCTCTGCTGTGAGGACAGGCTGAG